GTGACCAGCGTATTTCTAAATCAAATAGCATCTATGTAAAAAACAGTTATTGAACAATACTAAGATTATTTCGTGAAACTTGGTGCACTTATAAACGTGTATGACAATGTGTGTGCACCATTGTGTAAAGCTTACTTATCTATCATTGTAAGTTATGGTAACAACCTGATCTAGAGGCCTCCCTACCCTTCTGTCCCGACCCCCGAGCTCCTTACCCTGCAGCCTCTGGTACTTCTTGTCAAGTTTGAAATCCTTGTTTGCCCCTATGCCTGGTTGCGTCAGGGGCTTGGTGGTGGGACCTTGACCCAGCAGCTCATCCAGCTTTGCGCGCGCAGGGTGGGGCCCTTCCCTGCAGGACGAGATGCAGGGCAGGTATGTGTCCCTACTAGCAGCTCCTGGGGAACCCACACTGTACCTGCCTAATGGCTTTTCCCTGGACCTAAAGCAATAGCCTGACCAGGGACTTTCTGCTCACAGGGATCCTTACTGGACTCCCATCTGCCTCCTGTCTGTGCTGGGACTGTCTCCAAACCCAAGGGCGGCCATGATGTCATCCCCATCATCAAACAAATCTTTCTTCCGGACAGGGGTGTCCCCAGGAGTCAGAGGAATTGAAGGACCTAAAAGAGAGAACACAGGGCCCAATGCCCACAGCCTTCTTGCCTTCAATGTGATGTGTGAATGGGGGCTGAGGAGTGTTTGTATGCAACCCTGACTTTGGGTGGGGAAGCAGGCACTGCACTTGTCTGGTCTGCCTATGGGACACCCCCTCCCCAGCTCATGTATCCCAACTCCCTGTTCTTAGAGACTGAGGCTCTCGTTGTCCTGGACCAGACCTCCAGCCCTATCCTGCTGAGCTCTCTGGTTCTGCACCACCAGGGCCAGTCAGCCTATTGCCAATGAACTCTGCCCCAGGATGAGAAACAAGCCCATCACACACTACCTTGATCTCTGACTGTGCCAAGGCTTTTGTCAAGAGCTGCCTTACTCTCTGTCACGGGTGACTTCTGGGCCATTTCTTCTTCATCATCAGAGAAAAGTCCTGCCAACGGATCTTCTGAGTCTCACAGCAGGAGAGAAAGCACAGGTCAGATGGCAGCACTTAGTTCAGGAAAAACAAGCCCAAGGCTGAGGGAGTTATCTCTCAAGTCAAGATTTCTCACTGCTCTAATACATAAGCAAGCCCCTCGGCCTATGGTAAGGGAGCTGACACCCAGACAAGCTCAGCAGGGCGTTAGGAGTCAAGAATGGCCCTGGGCCTGCTGGGCCTGTCCTAGACCTGCCATGAGACCTCTGACTCTGCTGGGTGCATGGCCTTCTGGAAATGTCCCTAAGGCATCAAAATAGAAGTAAAATAGTCCTTCATTCAGGAAGGGAAATGGACTTTTTCCTAAACCATAAAGTCTTCAGTTTGATACCTGGCTTCAAAGTCTTCATACATGAGTAACCAAATATCCCCGCCAGTATAACAGAATTAGTCCCTTCCTGAATCCCTGCAGAGCTGAACCTTGGCACTAGCTCTCTGCTGCCCAGAGGACACACACAGCAACTGGGCCTCAGGCAAGTGTGTGTCACCCAGGCTACCCTACTCTCAAATTGGGGTACCACAGAAGCATGATGGGGGTCAATGGTACCTCCAAAGGAAAACCTCCCATAACGAGGCCCAGGAACGAAGCTGGGAGAGAGAGGTGGCTTCTTGGTGGGAATGGTGTCCCCTGGAGGAAGCAAAATTAGAAGATAAGGTTGTGGTCCTGGGTCCTCCTCCCTCACCAGGGACTGGGCCCCTGGGATGGGGTACACATCTTCCTGGGAAGCTGAGGGCTCATGACCATGGACACAGCTATAGGATGGGTCTATACCTCTTCAGTTCTCACATGGGCTTCTGGAAGGGACATGTGGTTCCTACCTCCTATAACCCTTGTCAGGAATGACTCCAGACAAAGACATGTGTTTGGGTGATGCACAGGCTAGCACATGATTGATTGACTGACCATTCACTCATTCATTCATTGAAACAGAGTCTTACTCTGTTGCTCTGGGTAGAGTACCCTGGCA